TTTTTTTTTTTTTTTTTTGGTCATCAAGTTTTTAACACCTTGCTAGGTGGTACTCGGATATTGCCATATCCTAAAACTGGTACAATGGGTGAAAAGGGTGAAAAGCCCTGGCATAGAGAATGGAGAGGAGGTGGAGTCAGTGCCGGGTGACCCCACTGCTCTGGAGGAAGGAGCTCCACCCCTCTTCACAAGGCTCACCTGGAGAATAGGATTTAAGTGGGGAGGGGCTTTTGTCGGGAACAAGTGTTGTATTTGCCAGCTATACTTGCCACGATTCAAGAGGCCTTGCTGTTACCGACGCTGCCTTGTTTTGCCTTGCTCCGCTTTGCTCTGCTTTGCCTTATTCTGCCTTGCCTAGCCTTGCCGTGTGTGAGTTCACAGTGACCCAGCTCGGCTCTGGTTTGGGCCGTGGCCCCAGCAAACTTCTGTGCAACGGAGACGCACGCGATCAAATTCCCTGAAGTGTTTTTGCTATCAGAACTGTCCTTCTCTCTCTTGGACTGCTAGCTTCAAGGAACTGCTTGAGGTGTGTGCGCATGTTAGAGCCTTGCTCTTGGGCTTAAAGTGAACTGTGGGGATTTGGGGGAAGGTTGGTTTAATAAAAGGGATTCAAGTCCTTGCATTCGCAGGTGTTGCTTATGTGTCCTGCCCCGGGTCATAAGATGATCATCTTTTGTGACTTTCTGACAAGCAAAGTCAATGGGGAAGCCTGATTCACTTAACAAACGTGTTCCTAACTTAACAACTGTGTCAGGACTGTCATTCTGCTGCATCAGTGGTGCTTTGCCAGATGCCAGTCAGCCATCAGCAGTGGGGGGGAGGGAGGTTGGTATGAGGGGAATTGAAACTACTCTGTGTGCCATCCAGTGGGAGCCACTGTCCATTCCAAGGTCATGGACTGGAATGTGAAACCCTGCAGCCCATCAAGCCAGGGACTGTTACCAAAACAATTTGTTTGAATGTAATTGAACACTTTGAGATAACCAGGGGAAAAGTGGGGAGAAGGGAAAAGTTAATCGGATGCTTTGGGCACAAAACTTCAGATCCAGCTTTTGCTTCTCTATAACCACTTGGCTTTAGTAAAGTGTACTTTCATTTACAATGGATTTGAGAATCTTTCTTTTCTAACTAACCAAGCTGGGACAACTGACAAACTGTATCAGTGGTGGTGAACCTATGGCACGCGTGCCAAAGGCGGCACTCGGAGCCCTCTCTGTGGGCACACACACTGTTGCCCCAGCCCTGCCTCCTCCCATGGCCCCCTCCTCACCAGCAGCCCCCCCCGGGGGAGAGTTGCCCGTGGGTGCGGCCCACGGGAAGCAGCGCAGCCAAGGACAGGGCAGCGGGACATCATTGCACGCAGATGATGCTGTGGGACACTGGTGGAGGGTGTGGTCGCCATGGCACTGCTGGACTGCCTGGGTGATCTGTGGCGGGCCGTGGAGGTGGTGGGTGGCCCAGCAGGCAGGACAGAGGAGGGACGGGGTGGTGGGTGGTTTTGGGGCACTCGGTCTCTAAAAGGTTTGCCATCACTGAACTGTATGATTCACTTAACAACTGTGGCAAGAAAAGTTATAAAATGGAGCATAACTCACTTTACAACTTTCTTAACAACAGAGATTTATTTTGGGCTCAATTGTGGTCATAAGCCAAGGACTATTTGCATACTGCACAAAACCATGCCACTGAAGTTTCCATCGCTCTTTTATTTGAGTATGATTTTTAAGCAAATCCTCTCCATTCACATCCAAGTTCAGTTCTCCGTATATCTCCTTTATTATATTTTCCAGTACACACACACTTCACAGTAAAGTTGCCTGAGAATTCCTTCCATTAAATTCTGGTCAGTTGTTATCTTCGGTTTGGTCTGATGTTGCATAAAATCTCTTTATGCTGCATTTGGAAAAGAGAAAAAGAAAAGGAACTACTAGAGCCACTAATGTGTAACTGTCAATGTTTCCACAATATATATCCAGTAGTAAAGATTCAAAAACACCAGAGTTCAGTGGAGTTTCCTTATACAAATATTTTGCAGAAACATCAGCATAATATCACCCTACTTAAAATAGCATCGCTGCCTTGTCCATTTTCAAGCTATTCAAAGTTTAATCAAATCATAATCCAAAACATTCAGATGTATACCATGTGGCATAAGGCTAGGAATGAAACTGGGAGACTGTGGGAGTTCTAGTCCCACCTTAGCCACGAAAGTCAGCTGTCTGGCTTTGCGCCAGTCACTCTCTCTCAGCCCAGCTCACTTCATAGGGCTGTTGTTGTTGGGAAAATAGGAGGAAAGAGTATTAGATATGTTTGCTGCCTTGAGTTATTTGTAAAAATAATACACGATAAAAACAATCTAAAATAAAATAAAATCCTTAAAGTGCTTTGTCCATTTTCAAGCCACTCAAAATTTAAATCAAAGTTTAATCAAGACATAATCCAAAATATTTGGATTAATGCCATTCAATGGCATAAGACTAGTGATACATGCCAAAACATCCTCTATACCAGAATAATCAATTCTGGGGGCCAACTGAGATCAAATGTATCTTTGGTGACTACATTCTGAGGGAAGAATCCAGAGAAAGAAATATTCTGGGAAATATTAAAAAGACAGAATATATTTCCCCAAAAGAATAATGGAGAAGATCTTTTAAAAAAGACAGAAACCAGCCCCCAGAAATCAGTCCCAGCCCCAAGGCAGAGGCCAGCTTTTAGAAATGCACATTCAATAGTCCTTTCAGAAAGGTTGGAGCCTTCCAGCTAGAAACTGAAGAAATTAGGAAGACAAAGACCCTTAAAATCTACATACCCCACCCAAACTCTAAGACAGGACATAATAGGATTAACCCACCAATACCAAAAGGGCACACTCAGACTCAGATCAAAGTACACGACACAGGAAATACAAAGCCTCAAACGGGAACAGGAAACAACCTCAAGAGACCCAGAAGGTATAAAAGCCCACCACTCTGCTCCATGTGATCAGTTTTTCCCCCCAGAGCCGTCTTTCTGTCTGGTTCTCCTCTTCAATAAACAGCCACCTTCTTTCTAAAGCAGTCTCCATTTTGTTTATTATCAGCTTGGACTGGACCCTGATGAAGATTTTTCTTTCAATAATTTGATAGGAAGAAAAAATGAATAATGTGAAGTGATTCGAGCTGGAGTAGTAACTCACCAATTCCTGTTGTGTTATAAATGTGGGTTAAAAAGCTGCATTGCTCACGTGGCAAAAACTGCATGATTTGAGGTGCCTCGGTGCTGATCTGGTAGATGTTTTGTTCAGTAGCATTGTAATGTGGCCATTGAACTTCACCAGATGTGAATTTGGAGGGATTCCTGTCAAGGAAATAAAATGATCAAATTACAGACAACAGTCAATTTGAACTGAAAGATTAAGGACAGAATGATTGACATGTCAACTTCACATTCCTCCTGACGAGCATTTTCAAGTGATATTAGCTTTGTTTATTTCTAAATCAATTATTTTCTGTAGTGGAAGTCAGCCACAAGGCAGATCACAATGCCTGGAAAAACATTTATACTATTCATTCCTTTAGGAATAGAAGTAAATGTGAGCCAAAATTGACTTTGGTTACACTGTCTGTCATTTCAGCATCAGAATAACAGAGTTGAAAGGGACTTTGGAGGTCTGCTAGTCCAACTCTCTACTCAAACAGGAAACCTTATTTCTAATTGTTCTCACTCTCAGGAAATTTCTCCCTAGTTCTAGGATGGTTCTCCCCTTGATCAGTTTCCATCCATTGCTTCTTGTTGAAGGGGGTCCACGAAACCTCTCATACAACTGGAGGAGAAGGAACGCCGTCGGGGAATCTATAACCTTCTGACAATAGTATAGTGGGGATTAGGAAGAAAAGTAATTTGATCTGTATGGGTCAAGGAGGCATGACGGATAGATTATGTTTATAGTCTCGGGGTCTAAATGTCTTCTTTACGGGATCATAACACGAATTGTGCATCTCACAAGAGTGTCTTACCCACTTCTGGCAAACTGGGCCCAGTAATGCATCACCCGTTGGCTTAGTACCCTGTCAGCTTCTGCATCTGATTGATTGAGTCCTGGGAGTGACGAGAGGGTTCCAAAGAGAAAAGGGACCTCAACTCCATGAGCTGCACCCATCCATTCTTGCCAGATGGAAGTCGAAATTTGGTGATTGAAGGAGTAAACATACACAGAGCCCTTCGTTGCTGCCATCCTTGCAGCAATGTCAATTAGTGGGCACACAAAATAGTGATCTCTACTAAAATGAGCCAAGATCTGTCGATTCAGATTCGGCCCTTGTTTATCTTCATTGTACTTAAGCGCTACAGCCTTGATAATGTCTTCTTCAAAATGTCTTCGTAATATAATGTCTATACCTGATATGACCTGCTCCCAGGTCTCGTTTTTGTCATCGTCTACATCGTTGAAAACTCGAGGTATAAAGACTGTGCCATCATCCCTTGTAATACCTATAAGTAGTGGCTTTGCTGGAATTGTCCCCTTCTCTAGAAATCTCTTTGGATCTTCAGGAAGGAAATCCCCATCGTAGGTGGGTAAGAAAAAAGAACTGAAATTCAGAAACACACCGACGTCCTTATTTTGGAGACAGCTCATCGTGGCACTGTGGTTTCCTTTTCTGCAGTTCAACAGACCAATTAAATAACGGGCATATTTCTGGGCCTTTTCGGGCAGCATTGAAGCCCAGGGTGCATTGGGAGCTCCACTCTGGAGCACCGCTCGGTCAAAAAGGGATTGGCTTACAGGAGAGAGGAGCTGGAATCCCACAGAGGCTGCTCCCGCACTGTGGCCAATGAGAGTCAACTTATCTGCATCTCCGCCAAAGACTGCTGCATTTTCCTTCAACCACTTCAGAGCCAGATATTGGTCCCATAAGCCCATGTTCCCTGGGGCTTCTGGTGGGAAGAAGAGAAAGCCCCAGATCCCCACCCGATAGTTCATAGATGCCACAATGACATTTTCGGTAGCAGCCAATGTTGACCCGTTGTATAAGACCGAAGACCCTGAACCAACAGTAAATCCTCCACCGTGGATCCAAACAAGGATAGGGACTGACACGGAGGGCTGGGGGTGAGGCACCCAAATATTGAGGAAAAGACAGTCTTCAGAATGGGGCTTACTGGCAACCCACATTCTTGAATAAGGATAGCTAAAAGAGGTCCATTGGTGACAAGGTTTCCCAAAGTGGGTAGCCTCCAAGACATGGCTCCATGGTTGATGTGGGACAGGTTTCTGGAAGCGCAGTTTCCCTACTGGAGGCTCAGCATACGGAATTCCTAGATAGGCATTTACGGCACCAGACTTAGTTAGGACTCTCATGCCTTTAATGGATCCAGAGCTGGTGATCACCACAGTGTCATTTTCAGAGAGGTCACTGGAAATCAGTTGGCAGAAGCAGAGACCCAGGAATGCAGAGAGGAGAATAGGCATGGCAGCGATCGGAACAAATAGGACCCAGGATCAGGAGTTACACCTTGTCTCTGATCTGTTGCAAGAGAGAAAGAGACCGAAATGAAAACAAAACCACCTGCTGTAAAATCTTGCCCATCAGTTTTAGTCACTAGCAGTCAGTGTGCTTCAGCATGTGGCAGTACCTGACCTCAGAAGACAAATAGGGTTTGGGCTGGTTAGGATTTGGATGGGAATTCTTCCAGGAATGGTAAGGCTATGGGCTAGACTGGGAAATGGGAAAGCTATCTCCAAAGAAGGAAATGGTGAGGCCTTCCATATTTTGTTGAGAAAACTACACAGACATGTGAATGAAGTAATCAGAAATCAAGTTTAACTCAAAAGGTCCCGTCCACAGTGTGGATCAGCCAAACCTGAACACATTTGTTTGCTTGTTTATATTTCATGTTTCTAGACAATCCATCTCCCTCGTGTTTCTAAACATAACAAAGTTTAAAATAAACAAATATTCGCAGCTGATCAATAGATGACACAATAAATGATTGTACACACCTGAGAATCCCCAGTTGTATGATATTCAGTAAATATGCATCATACACTAGATCTAGACCTCTGGCTGCAGTAATTGTGACATTAGTTTAGGACACTTTGCAAAGAAGAATTATCCAGTTTTGGTTTTTCAGTAAAGATTGCCAAACAAAGGAGAAAAGGAAATGCAATTATACATTTAAAAAAGTTAATTTTTCAGTATCTATTGCTCCATGATAGCCAAAAGGTACAACTGATTTAACCAACCTTGAACTTCTTTAGCAAATAAAGCTGTAGCTGTTCAACAAAGCTGTGGCCTTTGGGATTTTGCATCATCATGTTTTGCTCATTTGGAGTAAAAAAAATTCCTACCTTTTAAGATACACAGTAGTAAAGCCTAACAATCAGCATTAACAACTCACAGAAAGATGCCTGGCCCCGTTCAATATTTCCAGTGTGAAGGAAGATTCATCTAAATACATGATTAATTTCCAAAATACTAAACAAAGTAATAGTGGTGGAGGTGTATGAGGCTAAAACAAGATTTTATCTTCTTTTCTGGGGCCACACCTTCTCTTTTTCCCCCTTAAGTACACCCCTGTTCTCCTCCTTTGAAGTACAGTCTTTCTTTCCAACATAAGTTCACATCTGTTCTCCCTTGGAGACTGTCTTGCTCCTCAGAGATTCCTATGGTCAGCCTAAAAGGAAAAAAAAAGTAGGTACAAAAACATCCTTTTGGTTACAGCAGAACAATAAATAAATGAATTAAGGTGTGGTATAAGCTGGCAGGCACTTGAAAAAAAAGAAATGAAAAGGGGCTGAGTGCCAGTTTCTTGTTGTACCAATCTCAGAGGAAAGAGAAACAAAGAAAATACTTGGAGAGACGAAGAAAAAATGGAAACAGAGATTAAGGAAGAGATAAAGATACTTTGTAGATAGCAGGGAATTGGTAAGGAAATAAAAACTGGAGGCTTCTAGAAAGCAAGAAGCCTGTCTCAAATAGGAAAATCAAACCAAATAAAATGTACATGAGTTAGAACAGGGCTTTTCAACCAGTGGTACGGGTATCACCTGTGGTACATTGGCACCTGGCAGGTGGTACGCGACCATCCTAGAAAAGTGGTAGCGGGGGAGGGGAATGAGCTGAACCGGTGGCAGCACCGCACAATCCTGAGCGAGAGATGGCTGGAGCTGCAGGGCTGTCAGGGCTCAGCGGAAGCGCCAGGATCAGTGCCAGGATCCAGCTGATCGGCGCTTCTTCGGGGCTGTCAGGGCTCAGTAGAAGCGCCAGGATCAGCGCCAGGCCCCAGCTGGAGCTCAGCGCTGATCCTGGCGCTTCTGCTGAGCCCAGAAGAAGCACCGATCAGCTGGAATGTTGCAGCATCTCCAGGGTCTTGTGATTTACATTCAGATGCGTGGCAACTGATTCATATTTATGACGGTCACAGTGTCCCAGGGTCATGTGAAGTGACCAAAACCTGCTGCAACCACCCAGCAGACGGAGGGAATAAAAACCAAACACCCCCCACCACCCATGCTGCCAATCCTCAACAGAAATGCTCACAACAATGAAAACCTCGGACAGGCGGAAGAGCGCCGCCGGGTGGGCAGGCAGGTTTCTTGCTTGCTTGTGTCTTGGGGGGTACTTTTTTCAGTGTCATTGTAACTTCGAACAGTCACTAAGCGAACTGTTGTAAGTCGAGGACTACCTGTACTTTATCACTTTTTCCTTTTTTTTTTTTGGGTCATCAAGTTTTTGACACCTTGCTAGGCGACTGGTGGTACTCGGATATTGCCATATCCTAAAAGTGGTACAATGGGTGAAAAGGTTGAAAAGCCCTGAGTTAGAATACAGAGTTTGGACAACAGAGTTGGAAGTGACCTTGGAGGTCTTCTAGTCCAATCCACTGCTCAAGCAAGAGATCCTATACCATGCCAGATAGGTCTCCAATCTTTTCTTAAAAACCTCCAATGTTGGAGCACTTGTGAAGGCAAGGCGTTCTACTGATTGATTGTTCTAATAGTCAGGAAATTTCTCTTTAATTCTAGGTTGAATCTCCATTACTTCTTGTCCTGCTCTCAAGTGCTTTGGAGAATAGGTTGACTCCTTCCTCTCTTAGACAGTTCATCAAATATAATTAGAGCCATGGTGGCACAGTGGTTAGAACACCGTATTGCAGGCTAACTCTGCTGACTCCCAGGAGTTCGATCCTGACTGGCTCAAGGTTGACTCAGCCTTCCATCCTTCTGAGGTAGATAAAATGAGGACCCAGATTGTTGGGGACAAATACGCTGACTCTGTAAACTGCTTAGAGCAGTGGTTCTCAACCTTTTTAATGCCGCGACCCCAACCGGTCATAAGTCGAGGACTAAACCGGTCGTAAGTCGAGGACTAAACCGGTCGTAAGTCAAGGACTTTCCCTGCCCGGGAGCGCCGCGCATGCGTGGTTCCACCCCCTGCGCCGGCTGAGGCGTAGCTGGCAAGCGGCAGAGACGGAGCAGGCCGACCACCAGCTGGCCCGGCCCAAGGGAGGTAAGGCACCCGCCGGAAAAGGAGAAAAAAATGGCGGACAAAAAATGGCGGACAAAAAAATGGCGGACAGCCTTGCTTGGCGACCCCCGTGAAATGGTCGATCGACCCCAAATGGGGTCCCGACCCACAGGTTGAGAACCACTGGCTTAGAGAGAGCTGTAAAGCACTGTGAAGTGATATATAAGTCTAAGTGCTATTACCGTTGTTATCATGTCTCTCCTAATCCTTCTCTTTAGACTAAATATTCCCAGTTCCTGCCACTGTTCATCATATGATTAGGAAAGACATAAAACTGTGGCTGTGGATAAGTATGAATATATATGGGTGACAAAAGAAAGGAGCAGATATTAACTTAAGATGTTAAAGAACAATGAGCAGGAGTATGAGAAGCAAGACAAGGAAATGGTTAGCTTTACGAGAGGCATCTTAAGAATACAAAACGTTAAGTTAAGGTAGAAAAAAATAAACTAGCAAGCAAGAGGTAAAAAGGAGAATGCTGAAGGATTCCCTGCAACTAAAAAAGGCAGATGGGTAGTTTCTAGGGCGGTGGCGAACTATGTCATGCGGCACTCGGAGCCCTCTCGGTGGGCACGCGCGCCATGCCCTGGAGATGGCAACTATCCTCTTCAACCAGCCGCCCGCTAACTTGCTGAGATCCCACGTGGCTGGATGCATCCCAGCACCCATGCGCTTGCTGGCCTTTGTGTGCGGGGGCCGATAGTGTCAGGCAGCAGCCGCTCTGGCCGCTGCCTCGCCCTGCGACATGGCACCCCCGCCCTGCCTCACCTCACCCCGCAGAACCAGCCTCCTGCCTACCACCCCACCCACCAGAGACCCCTGGATCTCCCCCAACCCTGCCTGGCCCCCACAGGCATCCCTCCCCAGGAGCAACATCGAGCTGGCCATGCCCACCCTGGCCACACCCACCCATCTGCCATGACCACTGTAGCCACGCCCATCCAGCAGGCCACGCCCACCCAGCGGCCATGCCCACCCGGCAATACATAAGTGGGTTTTGGGTTGAAGTTTGGGCACTCGGTCTCTAAAAGGTTCGCCATCACGGTTCTAGGGTGCAACAAATTCAGGAGGACCAGTCTTAGTTTGGCCAGTTAGGCTGGAGTGAGAGTGGTAAGTTTCATCAGCGAGGAAATTGCTTGCTGGAACATCTGGGTGGTAATATAGAGAAAGATGAGCAGATGGAATTAACAAGGGCCAGACAAGAGGAGGCCCAACCCAGGAGAAAGGATTAAGCAGCCATGCGCAAGTACACAAGGACTGAAAAAGAACTGTTCCATTGTGCCTTTTTATAGACAATGTTGCTTGCTATAAGCTTTGTGCCAATAGAGAAGAGTTAATTATATCCTGTATTTTTAAAATCTGCTGCACCTTTAAGGAGATTACTACCTCAAGGTGAGCCTCTACTGGACACAGAGCTGACTTCTATAAACCCACTGAGATCAGTAAAAATGAGTGTAGACTTATTCTTGTACCTATGTGATGCTGTTTGTATAGCTGTTCAGTTAAATGTTTCTAATGCAAGTGGCAAAGTAAAATTTTCATAGATATTTAATATCTTTCTTATTTGATACCCTAGGATAGGGGTAGGCAACCTTGGCTCTTTTATGACTCGTGGACTTCAGCTCCCAGAATTCCTGAGCCAGCATGGCTCAGCTTGGAAACCTCTCCCTTTCCCCTCAGCATGGCTGGCTCAGGAATTCTGGGAGTTGAGGTCCACGAGTCATAAAAGAGCCAAGGTGGCCTACTCTTGCCCTAGGAGGAAGAAGGAAAATCATCCCTGATGACCCCATCCCCGCAGGCTATGGGTAGTCCTTGATCTATGACCACAATTGAGCCCCAAATTTCTGTTGCTAAGTGAGACAGTTGTTAAGTGAGTTTTGCTCCATTTTACAATTGTGGCAAGAAAGGGAATCACTTTCAGTTGTTAAATGCATCACTACAG